GGATTTCTTCATGAAAGTTGAATTTCATTCTGTTTATTACATTTGACCAAGGTGAAACGAGGTGAAAGGTCACCTCAAAAAATTAACAGTAACACAAAATTAAAAATACAACATATCGAAGCTCATTATAAACAATAATTGCTTTGTCCAAAGACACAAGCTTGCATCAGCGATGTTAGTCCATGATTCATGCATACACAATATATATACACAACAGTGTGACGATTCAAGTAACTACATTGGTGTTACCAACAACGAAAACTGAAAGATTGATGTCTAACACAGGCCATGTTCAAATCATGCAGGGAATTATAGTAGTGTAAAGCCAATTACTGGAACAACATTTCTAAACGATTTCATTCGGGACTTCAGTACTGACAATGAGTTTGAGTGAGTGAGTTTGGTCTTACCCCGCCTTTAGCAATATGCCAGCACAAAGATGTATATACGTCCTTGGCCAGCAATATCACGGCAGGGGACACCCCGGAAATGGGCTTCACACATTGTACCCATGTGGGTCTTCGGCGTGACAAGCGAACACTTTAATCTCCAGGCTACCCCACCGCCCCCAATACTGACTGACTGACTGAGTTTTGTTTTACGCTGCTTTAAGCAATATTCCAGCAATATCATGGCGGGGGACACCAGAAATGGGCTTCACTCATTGTACCCATGTGGGGATTCGAACCTGGGTCTTTGGCGTGACGAGCCAACACTTTAACCACTAGACTACCCCACCGCCCCCAATAAGTTTGATATTCAACGAAAAACAATTCTGGATGAGAATAGCATGTTTGAAAAGATATATACATATATCTTCTATATATTTCGTTTCTGCTAATAATTATACATTTATCGATCAGCATACATATAATTCTGCACATCCTGTTGGATCGCTATGTAAGTCACAATTACGGTTGGTGATAAAGATTGATAATCAGTCGTACCATTGAAGGAAGGAAATATTTTTGATTGAAGTAAATATCAACTTTGAAACGTAGATTTGTGTGCAGTAGTATAATTGGGATTTGGGGTGTGGGTAGAGGTTGGCGGGGTGGGGTGGGATCAGCTTTATGGGGGACAGAAGCCTGAAGTGATGCTAATGTCTGTGAAGGACAGAAAGGGACACAACTCTACACAGTATATTACTGCCTCAGGAAGGACTGTTATGCCTTTCAGGACTTATTTGATTGTTGTTTAACGTAGCACTCAGCAATATTCCAGCTACGCAACTGGGATACGATGACACGTGTCAACCGAGTCAGCGAGCCTGACCACCCGATCCCGTTAGTCACCTCTTACGCCAGCATGGGTTACTGAAGATCAATGTTCTAACCCGGACTTTCACGGGTTGGCTGGCGGCTTGGTTGTTCTTTAAGACCAAAATCAGCAATATTCCAGCCATATGGATGCGGTCTGTAAAGAATCGACAACCCAGTGATCAACATTATGAGCATCAATTTACGAATTGGGATACGATGACATGAGTCATCCACGTCAGGGTACCTGACCACCTGATCCCGTTAGTCGCCTCTTGCAACAAACGTGGTTGCTGAAGACAATTCTTACCCGGATCTTCATGGGTCGATCTTCCTGGGTATTTCAGGACTTACAGGAAACAAACAGAGTAGCAATTTGTCATCACAAGTGGTGAACACTACTTAACTTAAATGAGAGAGATACCCTCATTTGTTTTACCATATACAGTGAAGCCCCGTTAGTCCGGACTCCGATAATCCGGAAGTCTCGCCTCCCGGGCGATTTCAGCTTGTTACCAATCTATGCCTATATAATTTGCCTCGATAATCCGGAAATTCGGTTTCCGGAACCGGACGGTAAGTAGCTGTCACCAATCAGTAAAATAAACAGTAAATTGCTTCACAGTCCGGACGCTGTAAGTCGTGTTCACGAACCGTAACAACACCGCCCGGCGATGTTTACTTAATTAACTGGCCAACTGGGTTGTTGTTTTAATTAGACATAAAAAGCTGCCGACTGAAGATACTGTACATTTACACTTTGATTGACACCACAATACAAAGGCGTGGATGACAAGTGAACTGTTTTGTGATTGGTTAATGTACTTTGACAGACAGATCCAGTCACGTGGACTAAAAGTGATTTTGCTTTACGACAATGCTGCAAGTCACAAGTGTGCTTCGCTAACTGCGAAATGTGACCAAATACAAGCGTCTCATATTCAACCGATGGATGCAGGAATAATTCGGACATTCAAGGCATACTACAATAGATCGCTTGTTAGACATTACCTCACCTGTGCTGAGGAAGGACGTGATCAGACACGTCGGATCAACATGTGGATGTCACTCGGTAAAATTATTGATGTGATGAATTAAGCTTTACATTAAATGCTTATTTGTTTTATCCAGATTCGTGTCGTTTTTGTAATTCTTAGGGAAGCAACTTGGGTCTTGATTCAGTAGTCCGGACTATTCGCAATCCGGACGAACTTACTGAGAAACGCAAGCATCCGGATTAACGAGGCTTCACTGTACTTATTTCAAGGTCATATGTGCTTATTTGAAGACATAAGTGTTTCTTCTTTCAAGGTCACATTCTTATTTCATGGTCATAAGTGTTTCTTCTTTCAAGGACATATGGTCTATTTCAAGGTCATAAGTCCTTCCATGTTAAGGTCATGAGTGCTTGCTCTGAGTTACTAAGCACACACTTCTAGCCCACAGTTAAGTGATCAAATCATTTGCAAAGCAGGCTTGCATACGATATGGTCGATAAGCACATCAATTTTTCATAAAAACACATCTCTGTTGTACTATCCCTCGGGTGAATATTCGCACAGTGTTTCAGAAGTCATTAGTTGACAAACATGCATGACCCAGGCTTCATTCATACTGCCAAAAGCTGATAGATACTCCATGGAGGAAACGGTGAGGATTACATTGGAAACTCCTGTTCAGTGCACAGTAACCATGCAGCGGTTGTTATGGTAACCATGGCAACGGAAAATGTTTTAAAAGCGAAAAACTGACAGCCTGATTACCATGCAACAGAAGAAAATTAAAACATGGCAACTGCAGTGAACAAGATGTTAAATCGAACTGACAATGAAAACATTCGGAATCACAAGTAACCATGGCAACAAGCAATTGTTAACTTTAATACACCAGTAACTCCAATGGGTAAGATTGTGACTTGTTTGATTTGATTGATGAATTTGGATTAAAATCATTTAGAAACTTATTAAAAGTACCGCACCTCATCACATGACGTATTAAACTGTGATTTAAAATGAAACAGGAAAAAATACGTTGCAGATTTGTGTCATGTGCCCTAAAGCTGATAACAGATGAACTAATCTTATTGTCAATACTTCAAGATGTTTTATACATTGTTCCTCCTTCCCAAAGAATGTTCTGCCACATACTGTCGTTACTTATTGTAACCAATCCATAAACAAACAGGGTCCAGGGAGCCAGCAAGTGCTTTGACCAATAAGAGTTCAGTGTTTGTGGGTCTCTGTGTGTGTCTGCTTATACTTATCTCAAGTACTGGGGTTTAATGTTGTACTTAAGAATATTTCGCTCATATGACGACGTGCATGTGTGTGTATGTGTGGCTACTTGTACTAGCCCAGACTTAAGCTGGTTTTATAGTGCTAGTTCACTGAGATACCATGCCACAGTGAAGCATGAATACCCTTCTCAGACACATTATACTGACTCCGAGCCGACAAGTCCTTGTTGTACCCATTAATGCCAAGCGCCAGGCACGGACCAACAAGTACCATACTTTAACGTCTTTGGGTATAACGCGGACGGGAATTGAGCCGGCGACCTTCCCTTCTCCATGCGGATGCTCTGAACACTAAACCATGGAGATGGCCTTGTCTCAAGTACTGCCTCCTGAATATACTGACTAATATATCAACTGCTGACTTGCTACTGTATTCGTTACCCTATATTCATATTCATTGCCCTATATTCGTATTCATTGCCCTATATTCGTATTCGTTACCCCATATTCGTATTCATTACCCAGTATTTGTTACTTAACCCCATATTCGTATTCATTACCCAATATTCGTATTCGTTACCCTATATTCATATTCGCTACCAAATATTCGTATTCGTTACAAATATTCGTATTCATATACCCTTTATTCGTAACCCAATATTCGTATTCATATACCCTTTATTCGTAACCCAATATTCGTATTCATTACCAAATATTCGCATTTGTTTCCCAATTTTTGTATTCGTTACCCAATTTTTGCATTCATTACCCAATATTCGTATTCGTTGCCCTATATTCATGATATGTACCATATGCGCTCCATAGCAAATTTGTTTCGGCCCTAGCATTCACATGTGATGGACAAACGTGGTGCATACAAAAACATGAAGTATTGACAATAATTAAGGTTAAGATTAAAAGAAACCCAGTCTGATGATGATTCTTAATGTTATGGTGAATCTCTGAAGCTACAAATAATTAGCATCACAATCAGAATAAAAGTAAACACTTCTTCAGCACTTTTCAAAGGAGACACAGATTTAACAACAAGCGTAATTCTTGCAAAAATAAAGTAAATAGGACTGAATAATTAATACATTTTCAAGTGATATTTAAATAATTGAGAACAAAAACATAAAATCTATGATTAAAAAAATTGCATTTAACAAAGCCATTAAAGATTTCATTTTTAAACAATCATAATTTCCAAATGCTCACTCACTGTTAAAAACTTGTAAACAAGATAAATATATTTAGGGAACATTTACAAAAAAAATAAAAATAGATGAATTAACCTGAGCGTATTGTTTAAAACACATAACAAAATAAATATCACACGTAAAAGTTACACAAGAAATCTAGCTAAAAAAATTCAAGTAGCACTCAAATTTTCAAAAAGCAAAAACTTTCAACCAGCTGTAACGGAAAGCTCAAATCAAACAAGTCATCTCAGTGTTACAGAACCAGAGACAGAGGCAAACACCATGCTGGTACAACTAATATACCTCCATATTTGTCCTCTCGCTAACAAGGGAGATAATTTAGAGTATTTGTTTCGTTCGGACTACTAAATACTGCCTAGTTGAAAAGCTGAAAAAGAACAGAACGAAAGTATAAACAGGATCATGAAAAATGTGGTGGTAATTTCATATACAGAAGTAGGTGTGTGGACAGTAGTACTGGAAAAAGGAAAAAGTCAAAAGACTCAGAATAGGTGAAATGAAGAAAAGTAATCAAATTATTTGAAGCCGCTGTCAGCACTTTTTCAGCTGAACCATGACAAGGTCTGCCCTGGATTCAAACTCGGAGCAGGCAAACCGATTCCTAATGCTGAAGGGGTCATTGTTGTGTAGGGTCAGCCTTCAAAATTCATGCAAGTCTATGAATCGAAGAATACTTATTGTGCCGAGGACAAGTTCACCATTAATCGGTTGGTTTGTTGTTTAACCCCAAGCTCAGCAATGTTCCAGCTATATGGCGGTAATCTGTACATAATCAAGTCTGGACCAGACAATCCAGTGATCAGCAGCACAAGCATCTATTTACGTAATTGGGATGTGATGACGAGTCAATGAAGTCAGCGAGCCTGACCACCCAACCCTGTTAGTTGCCTCTTATGGCAAGCATGGGTTGGTGAAGACCAATTCTAACCCGGATCTTCACGAGTACTCCATTGAAAGTAGTCCTCAGAGACTGGTACCATTTTGGGGATAATTTTAAAATGAGTTCTAAGTGCTTTAATTTTGTCACAAATTGGTAAATGTAGGCACAGTAAACACTTTTGTGGCATTCTAGTCTCAGGACTCGTTACAACTCTGAGGACAAGTGAAATGTTAGTCTGTCATACAGTCCCTGAACCACATTAGTTTTCCTTCACCCTAGCCCTTTCTGCAATCTTTAAGCCCTAAATGAAGCAAGCCTAAATTACCTCAGGTTCAGAATCTGAATCTGAATTCTGAATCTAAGAACTCACTGGGGCTCCATTTCCAGTTAGAAGGACTTATTCAGGGACTAAGCGTTAGTTCAGTGTAACAAAGTTTACACCAGTCCTCTGGATTTGTCTAAAAAATACTTTAAAAAAAGGTTGAGTGTATTACTGACATGAAATCCAGGCTTAACATGCACATAAAGATATAACTTTATCCAAAATCAAAATAACCATGGATTGGGAAAGGCAGGGGCCATGGGCCATTTTGCACATTAGAATAAAAAATGGCCCTTTAAAATTTTGACTGACTGGCTGGCTGAGTATGGTTTTACGCCGTTTTTAGCAATATTCCAGCAATATCATGGCGGGGGACACCAGAATTAAAATTTTGAAGTTTACTATTGATACATGGGCAGTGGCCCATTCTAAATTCAGAAAATGGCTAATAGTCCTGAAAATGGCCCATTATAAACATTCTCTATCCCAATCACTGAATAACATTTGACCTTTGTGGAGGCCATTTTGCACAGGGACTAATGGATGAATCCATTCAAAGTTGCCATGAACCATTCTGAGTTTGGGAATATATTCTTAGAAGATGGTGACTAGGATTTCAAGATATTGTGGAACATAGTTTAATTCAAGCAAGGAAAAGTTTGAAAAACACCATCATCAGATCAAGTTTTCCTTTTGGTGATGAGTTACCCAGTTTTACATAGATAGACTGAGTTTAATTCCTCATGGAACAGTATTTCAGTCATAAATAATCGTGAAACTTTACCTGATGATAAATATATCGATACTTTTTTTCGTATCATGATATGTATCGCTGACCTTAACATTGCTAATTTTCACGAGAAGTTGATGGTTATGTCAAAATTTACACTAAACTTGCTATCAAAATATACTTTTTTAAAGAAAATAACTAAAGATAGCAGATCGTGATACGCACTGAATCACATCGTATCGTTCCAACACATCATGATATGTATTGTACTGTGAAATTTCACAAAACCTCTATCCAGAAATGATAATGGTTCAAGGACTGAAAAACAGACTACCCCTTTCCAAATGAATGGACACGTCCAGATTCCAGTGGCCAGCAATGTGTTCTGATTTCCCTACACGACAATGACCCTTTCGGCATTACTGACAGTGAGGTGGAAGAATCGCATCACATCAGTACGTGATCGCACTCCAATAGTGAGGCTGCATGATGTGGTCACTGATCGAATAAACATCAGGGCTTGGACATTATGTAACTATAGATCTGTCTTGGACATAAATAATATAACTCAATCTGGACCGAAACAAAATTTAATAATCAATAACTTGTAATTCTTAATGACTGAAAAATATTTATCAGTTTGTCTTTTTGATAAGCATCTTTTAGCTCAGCGTATTGGAGAATTTGTGTTTCTAACGGTGAGCCAAGCATACCAATGAAACAAACTGCACTAAACATATAAACAGTTTTCTCTACGACATGCGACATATTACACAATTTTCAAATTGTAATACAAGTGTGACAAAGATAATTGCTGATGTTTTCTTTGAAGTGTCGGAACAGAAAAGCAAATGATATGGGAAAAGAACACAACTGCACTACTTGCAGATCAACAGATTCACTTATGTACAAATACAACCATCACTAAATCTGTGGACTTACCGGCATCGTGAAAGCTGTGTGGTGCCTTAACTAATCACCTGGCCTTGGCGTCACATTGATCTGCTGGAAACATAAGAAAAATGTCTCAGTTTATGTGATATTTCAGTTTTAATGCAGCTTGTACCATTATTTCAGTTACAACACAGCTTTTACCATTACTTCAGTTATATCACAGCCTGTAACATTATTTCAGTTACAACACAGCTTGTACCATTATTCAGTTATATCAAAGCTTGTACCATTATTTCAGTTATACCACAGCTTGTACCATTATTTCAGTTACAACATGGCTTGTACCATTATTTCAGTTACAACATGGCTTGTACCATTATTTCAGTTACAACACAGCTTGTACCATTATTTCAGTTACATCACATTTTGTAACATTATTTCATTTACAGCATGTAAACAAAGCATAAAGTGAAGCAGGTTTCAGATTTAACCACTTTTGAAAAAATCCCAAGAGCTTGGGTGTGGTACTGACCTAGAAATCTTGATTTCGAACAAATGACACAGGTGTCTGATATTCCTAAGGGAAGCAACTCCACGCAACAAATGGTGCTGCCTTACCCCTGATGTACATTACAGAATGACTTGGGCAATATATAGGTTATTACATGGCAATTTGATCTCATACTCCACAACAACCCTAGATTCTCATATCAGTAGACAGTCGAAAACTAAAGGAGATTTGACAGAGGAATGTGGGTGGGGGCCATGTTTGATGTGGGGTATGGTTGGCAAACGGCCATTTAATACCCTTTCATCATATATAATCAGTCTATTCATTCAGTTTTTATGTAACATGTTCTTGTACTTCAATTTGTTCACGAAACCTTCCGTGTCCGTTTTGCTCTTAAAGGACAAGGTATGATAAAGGCCCTTATTGGCCCACAAAATTTCATGATATTCAAAGTTCTACAACATGATAATTTTAGCATAAAAAATGCTAAATAAAGTGTTGAAATTACCTCCATATGTTTTTTTTATATGTTTTAGTGCTGTTTTTTTCCTCTTTGAAGACCTCAAAGTTAACCTATTTTACAATATCTTCGAAAAACCTGCATTTTCATATTTTCAGAGTGATAAAAAAGTGTGAGCAAAAGCTTGACCCATCCCAATTTTTTCACCACACATGAAGAGAGTAAATTAGAATGCACTCCTAAAAATTGTGGTGGGTCACGCTTTTGCTCATATCAAAATGTTTAAAAAGTGCATTTTTTCTGTTGTATGAAATTGCCCCATACAACATCTCAAAAAATAAACATTGGCGTAAAAGTAATATCTCTGAAAACTATCCGTCCACATTTACACAACTATACCATGATTCATTACTATTTTGAATGTTTTAGAGCACTAAAATGAACTTATAAAACATGTTTATTAAAAAATTTCAATATCGTAAGGGACTCTCAGGACTGATTACTTTGAGGTAAACAAGGATAGTTTTTTGGAGACCCTGTTGATCACTGCTGGAAAAATAAGAAGACATCAGAAGATTTTTCAAAATATGATCAGGCAGCATTCTAAAGGTGAGAATCTTTGTAATTATGCTAGAATTTTATCATATTTGTTCTATCATCTGTTTAGCAAACCCCTCTGTGTCACCTGTCACTGTCAAATAACACTGGCATTCCACTGGATGTAACTGTGTATAAACATACACATTTTAACAAAAAAATGTACCTTGATGTTTTCTAGGATATATCAGGCTACATTTAATATTGTTAGAATAAGAACATTGTATCAAGGTCTAGCAGATTATGAAAAGCAAGCAGACGTCAAGTGACACATTGTTGCAAAGTGTAATATATAAGCTTAAAGTGACAAATAGTAACAGTAGGATCTGTAGCCTAGTGGTTACAGTGATGGCTTCTCAATTTTTTTTCTGTTATCAGACTTCAGGTTCAAATCCTAATGTTTTTTTCTTTTCTTCTTTTTCTTTCTTCAAAAGTTAAGTTAAACATTGTAAATTGGTTGACAAAACTTGTGCACATGAAATACAAATTTTGTAAAAACATTTTCTTAAGTTTGGTAATGTAAGTTACACTGTTCAAACAAACTTGAATTGACATCATGTAAATCTTGTTTAAGCCTGAAGACACTGACTTTTCCACTTTGTTCCCACACAATAAAGAACCTGTAAAAGGTAAGCATTGTTTCAAAATGTTATGGTAATTTCTTTAAGTAAATATTTACAAACTGTCCAGTGCTGTTAATTAGTGGTGCACTGATCAAACAAATAATTAGTTTATGGATATTTTGTGGGCTGCCAGTCAATTACCGATAACCAAATCACATAATCAATTAAAGCGTTCACTATTTCTTCTTAAAAATATGTTTACAGAATCAATGACTATTGGTTTCAATTGTCATATTAAAACTGAGGACTGATTACCTCTGTTTCCATGTGCTCTAACAGTTGTTTTTATCTTATATCTATAATTGATCAAAAAGTGGCCTCAACAATTGATTATGCTTTTGGAGGTCAATTCCCTTCCCTATATAACTATACTATTGACATGTTTAGCATTAGAAAAAATAGAAAGCACCAATTTCTTGAACATAATGATAATTCTTTTATGATTTCAAATATTTGTTTTCAGATAAGAGAAATTTGCTTGGACTGATTTCAGGAGTGTCATTTCATGAAGATGACAACTTAAAACTTGAGGTGGAAGGTAAGCATAATATGAGTGCTAAAAATAACTAATATTTTTTCTTCAATTTTCTAATTTAATGTGACAGAATTTCAGAAATACTGATGTCTCAGTGGTGATTAAATCTGCATAAGCCTTCAAGGCCAGACTACTGACATTTGAAAATAAATAAGTAATGTTACCCTTGAATAGATTTATAATATCAAAGTTTTAAAACAGAATTTTCTTTTGATATAAAGTCATCTGTTTTTCAGTTGAGAGAAGATCTGGGTATGGCAGACACCAAGACAATATGCCAGTTTCCAGCAACTCTAGTGATACACGGTTGAATGCTGCAGTTCTTGACAGTGATTCAGAAACTGATTCAGAGATTGATGACCATGTGGATGAAGAGTGAAAGTGGATGTTTTATATATCTTTGCAGTGAATGAGTTGTGAATAAATACTTTTTGAAGATTTTTGAATACTGACTTTTAACACTTACTTGGTGTCAAAATCAAGCTGTGCCAAGAATGTAATTTCACCTGAAATAGGCCCCTTTGAGGTCAAGACCTGTGCTTTTTAGTGCAACATGATTGGTTATTGTAATAACATGTTGTGAATGAGATGTTTACTGTATATTTGCTAAAACCGGTTGTGAATACTGACTTTGAACACTTACTTGTTAAAATCAAGCTGTGCCCAAAATGTAATTAGACCTAAAATGGGCCCCCTATGATTTTTTCGTGGGACATGATTGGTTATCATAAGTACATGTTGTAAAATTGACCTATAGTTTATGTTTGCAAAGAAAGTTGTGAATAATGAGCTTTTTTGTAATCAATTGACAAGTAATTGAATTACTGTCCACAATGTATTGCAACCCTTATTGGGCCCCTTGAAGTTAAAACCTTGTGATTGATGTTGACATGTTTCTTCATTATGAATACCTGTTGCAAAACTGTTACTGTTTGTATGTAAATAAACTGATAGTTGTATATAAGTCATTATGGCAAGCTGATATTTCAGATTTCTTGTTATTTTTTCATGGGAACTGATAAAACCCATTTTTGGCCCCTCTGCATTGAAATTATGGCCTCAGATCATTTAAAAAATAGCTTTTTTATGCAAAGCCATCTTGTCTCTAAACAAATAACATGTGTTCAGCCAATTCTGTTTGTGGGCCAAAAAAACACCCTTATCATACCTTGTCCTTTCTCCTCACATTTGGATTATCTAAAAAATGGAGGCTATAGTTCTGTAATTATATTTTCTAATGAATACAAAATACATTATCACCTTGTTTGGAAGACACAGTCACAGGAAGGCAGACTGAGATACAAACAGACAACACACTAAGGGACGTAACTCCAATTGGATAAGGGAGGTAACCGAACCACCAGGGCTGACACTGATCATCCAATCAAAGTACAATCACCAGCCATGTCTGCCTTGTGATTGGTGTAGTCACTTATGGATAAAGCTACACATCACTGATAGGTATTTTATAATTCCTTTCTTCAACTTAGCATCTGTTTAATGCTTCATCAGAATGTTCAAGCTATATCGAGGATGAGAAAACAGCTCGCAAACAAGCAAGTCTGGGCTGTTCATGAGGCAATCACAGGCCTAATGCGATAACACGCACTTCCGTCTGTCACAGCACTACATTCGCTTTGTGGAACAAGGTTTCTTGTTCTTTTGTTGTTTAACTCTGCACTCTTCCACTGCAATATTCCAGATATATCAGGGGCAGTGGGGTAGCCTAGTGGTTAAAGCGTCGGCTCGTCACGCCGAAGACCCGGGTTCGAATCCCAACATGGGTACAATGTGTGAAGCCCATTTCTGGTGTCCCCTGCCGTGATGTTGCTCGAATATTGCTAAAAGCGGCGTAAAACCAAAACTCAGTCAGTCAGTCCAGATATATCATGACTGTCTGTAAATTATTGAGTTTGGACCAGACAATTCAGTGATCAATAGCATGAGCATCCATCTAAGATATGTGTGTCGACCAAATCAGCGAGCCTGACCACCTGATTCTGTTACTCACCTCTTATGACAAGCATGGGTTGCTGAAGATCAATTCTAATCTGGATCTTCTATTTTCATACCCTAATTCCAAATTAATCACACCAATTTCAAGGAAGCTAATGTCTTTGACAATATCATCAAAATCACATCTTCATTCCCATAATCAGTGGCGGTGGGGTAGCCTAGTGGTTAAAGCGTTTGCTTGTTACGCCGAAAACCCTGGTTCGATCCCCCACATGGGTACAATACTGCAATGAGAAACAATCCCTAGTGTTGGGATAACGAAAACACACAATCAACCAAATTGCTGCATCTGACCATTTAGCAGCTTGTCCTGACAACCACAGATTACTGAAGGCCAATGTTCACCGCCAACTCCCCAGCTGCTACTCT